AAGAAATTCCACAAGAAAGAGTAGGTATGGTGAGAATCGAATCTGTGACGTTGAAGTTCCGATGTCATATAAAAAACTAATTCAACCAAAAAAAAAATTGTTAAGTGAAGGCCCATTAATAATTTATATATTTATCTAACAGAAACATTTTTACCAAAGGACTACTTTTTTGTGGCATTTATTTGTCTAACTTTTAAGGGATAGGATATTGTAACAACTAAGTAACGTTACTACGATGTTACTACCAATCAATCTCACTGTTAATTGGCTATTTTGATCCGACAGTCCTGATTTGATCAATATATAGCCCTTCTCTCTCCCCCCCCTTTCTCTCTCTTTCCTTCTCTCTGACTATACTCTCTAGTCTCTACCGCCGCTGCCGCTCCCATAGTCGTTGTCGCGCCGCCGCCCCACTCTACCGTTGCTGCCCATAGCCGTCGCCGTCGCGCCGTCGCCCTTAATCCCTCTTTGAGTTGTGCACCCCTCTCTCTACCGCCAGACAGTTTTGCATCATTTTCATTCTGCTTTCATTTTCTTATAGACTCTTTTTATCTCATTCATCATATTCATTCTTGTCTTTTTTAGTTTCTATTTCTTAATTTCCACATTTTACCAATTGCTGGAAAGCTTTCCATGATATTTATATTATTTACGATCAGTACAGTCAGAAAGAAGGGAAGAGAGAGAGGGGGAGACAGAGAAGGGAAGAGAGAGAGAGGGGGAGGGGGGGAGACAAGGGAAGAGAGAAGGTATTCAAATAATCACATATCTTAGACACTGTACATGTGAACAATTGAAACTATGATCCATTACTTGTCATTAATCCCAATCGAAAACAAAAGCAGCGAGAACATTAGGATCTATAAATTGAGAAACAGAATGCGAAGTGGAGCACATTTTCAACAATCTGATCGCTGTTTAAAGTGATCTAAATGAATTATCCATTGAAATTCTTCATAAGAGGATCGACGTAAACAGTATCAGCATCAAAAGAACTAAATCCCAAATTTCACAACTCAGAGAGGGTTTAAGGGCGGCGGCGCGACAGCGGCTATGGGCGGCGACAGCTATAGAGACTAGAGAGTATAATCAGAAAGAAGGGAAGAGAGAGAAAGGGAGAGAGAGAAGGGATATATATTGATCAAATCAGGACCGTCGGATCAAAATAGCCAATTAACGGTGAGATTGATTGGTAATAACATGGTAATAATCCTACTTGGTTGTTACAATATCCTACCCCAACTTGGAATAACATCATATTTTGATTGAATAATTTAAAGTTTTCCAACACTAGTAGGCCCATTCCAAGGGAAATTTCCAGGTAGCAGCAACGATAATGACTGAAAGGCTTTCATATATAATAATTCAGTCATGGTTTCTTTTTCTAATTTTTTTCCAACCACGTGTTTCTCGGTGCCTTTCCTAAGAAAATTATTATTATTAGAATTCTATTTCCCATGTTTTGGAAATAAATATTTCCTATTATAAGTGAAACCCATTATCTATTAAAAAGAAAGAAAAAAAATGTTAACATAATTTTTTATGTTAAATAAGAGAATGATTTCTCTTATTATTATTATTATTTTCGGTGGCGATATTAACTGTTGAATACATTTCTCAAACAAGTTAACAAGCCATGCATTATTTAATGTATGTCTTTGAACGTTGAACGCTTGGTTGGAATAACTAAAGTACATTTATTTAATCATTACATAAACTTTTAAATATGAGATCTGAGTATATATTCGCAGAGAGATAGGAGAAAGAGGTAAGTCAAACTTGGTAACTTACTCTTCTCGTTAGTGCCGGTGGGTTGCTTTATCTTATAAAAAGAAAAATAATTTTATAAGAGTTATGTTGTAGGAAAAGTGAAGTGGTTATGTTACAGAGATTCGTATTTAATGTCTTAGTTTTTTTTTTTTTTTTGCTTCAAAAAATATGATGCTCACAAAATATTATGTGTGTAGGAAATTCTTTTTTTTTCCTATTTGCATGATGGATGCAAATCCCAAAGAAAAAACTAGTCAAAATTATATCAAAGAGAAGGCAAAGAACCAAATTCCTTTGACATAAGTAGTAAAGAATCTGGATCTTTTAATAAAAAATCTCAAATTTGAGTTATGAGAATAAAAAAAAATTAGAAGAGTCATCCCTAAAAGAATTCGACAGTCCTCGATAGGAATTAATTTTCTATTACGACAGAAGGATATATTACTAAAAAAAAAACAGAGAAGGCAAAGAAACTTTAAAAAAATAAAAAAGGAAAAAAAATGACAGTACATAATACATATTACATAAGGATTAGGAAGTTACTATGTACCCAAAGGCAGCAACAACACAATGTTTATCATATTAAGAACCATGCTATGCCACACAACTTTATAGACACAATTGCAAGTTCCCGTACAATTCCATAAGTATCAGTTAGAAAATATGTGTTTTTTACTCTCCTCAATTGGTATATCCTTCAAATTAGTTCGATTCAAACATTATCAGATATTTTTTTTTAGAAAATATGTATAAAATGGTGTATAAGGACGGCTCTCTCAAGACTATTTTTTTTTTTTATTCTTAGCATTGGAACACGAGACAATATATATATATTTTTTTTGGAAAAGTTCATAAACTTTTATATGGTTTATTCTTTTATCACTTACACTCTTATTTTTTTGTCTTATCAATTATCCCCCTTGATTTCTTTCATCTAAATCCATATTTAAAACGATCAGTAATTAAACTAATTTTTCAATTTTACCCTTCATACAATTACATAAATCAAACTCATAGCAGCAGCCAGTTTGGGTGAAGTTTACAAGGCTAAAAAGGTGCAACGTCCTAGCATTGAGGAAGCTATACGATTGGACTTCTACTTGATAAAAGGTCTAGGGTTTTTCATAAATAAATATGTGGACATAATCACACTTGGTATGAATTTGCATGCAGGGTTTTTCAAGAGCTCAACTATGTGCAGGTTAGTTCTTCAGTCATTACCATACTTGGTATTTTTGTTTTTTTTTTCTTATCTTAATTGTTTTTTTTTTTTGTAAGTATCTTAATTGCTTTTTGTTCACGCAGAAAACTAAGACAGACCAATCATTGAATCTTTTGCTTTATGACTAATTTCCAGGCAAAAGGCTAGCATACAATTTTGTACCTTTTTACACTTATAATTAAAATCTCCCCTGTGGTGATATGTTCCTCATATGTTAACAATAAATCGGTGTATTTGTAAATTATTTAACCGGAAATACTATTCTATTTGTAAATGTTTGTGTGTGCAGAAAAAATCATTTATCAACTGTGACGTAATAAAACTAAAGCCCTTATTTAATATTCTAGGAGGGACAAAATGTAAGGAAGTATTTTGTTGTAAAATGGGTTTGACTTATGTAATTGGATGAAGGATAAAATGAATAAATTAATTTAAGAGTAAACATTTTTTTTGGTCCCTAATAAAAACGGTATTCAATTTAGTCCCTTACAAAAAAAATAGTCTCAAGGTCCCTAACAAATTTAAAGTGAACCCATTTAGTTGAAATCATGATCCTTCACAAATTCAAAAAAATCCCATATTAGTCCATCAAAAGGACTAAAATGGGTCACTTTGAATTTCATAGGGACTAACCGACTAATTTTTTTTTTTGTAAATGACTAAAGTGGAGATCGTATTTTTTGTTAAGAATCCAAAAAGGTATTTACTCTTAATTTAATTACAAACATGTTAAATATGAACTTGGATGAAAAAAATCACAAAAAATTAATTGATAAGAAAAAATTATAAGAGTGTAAATGATAAAAAATAAACTTCATGGTATTTTTATTCTTTCTATGTAATAACTAATAGCATTATATATAATTGTCATATGTCATATATTAGAAACAAGGAAAAAAAAGTGGTAGTAGGAAAAACTTGCAAGGGGATTATCTCTCTTATATAATAAGAGAGAAATTAGGGATGTGCATGGGTCGAATCGAATCAGATTTTTTGAAAAACCGAACCGAATTAGTTTAAATGGTTCGGTTCGAAAGTGGTTCGGAACCGGTTCAGAAGTGGTTCGGAATCGGTTCGGGTCGACTCTCTTTTGAAAAAATAAATTTAAAATTTAAAAAATAAAGTTATAAAAATTAATTTGGTTCGGAACCGGTTCGATTATTAAACCGGTTCTAAAAACCAGTTGGTTCTTAAACCGGTTCTAAAAAGCGGTTCGGTTCATGAACCGGTTCTTTAAAAAACCGGTTCGGTTCATGAATTGGTTTTTAAAAACCGGTTATTTTATGGAGCGGTTCGGTTTAGTTCGGTTCATGGTTCGACCCACTTTTTTTGGTTATTTTGCACACCTCTAAAAAAATCCTTTTATATTAAGAGATAAATAAATGAAGCCTATTAATTTTTTTTTATAAAAAATAGAAAATAAGAGAAGCACATATATTTTTGATACGAGGACAATATAAGAAATCAATTTCTTGTAATATAAGAAGAGAATATACTGTACGTACATAGAATTTTATGTTTTTTTTTTTAAATTATGAATCCACATATTTATATCACCCATGTCAGAATACTATCTGTATCTCATAATATTAGTAAACCCCGTATAAGAAATCAATCTCAAGAGAACGAATATGATTTTATTGTAAATAATAGGTGGGGAAGTCTGAAAAGTCAACAACAGTCTCCATCTTTGAAGCTACTTCTTTCCATCCTCAGCTCGTCAACAGTGACTGCTATATTTGCCAACCAATCACAAAATTCGAATTTTTAGTACTTCGATCCTCTAATAAAGCTATCCTTTTTGAAGTACGATATTCATAATGACACAAATTTTTATTATACTTTAATCATCGTTGGATTAGAGAAAAAATTGAACGAAGAAAAAGAAATTTTTTTTTTTTTAAATTCAATGACAATTAGAATGATAATAGAGTGATAATAAAAAATTTTGATAACACGAATATCCTACCTATCATTTTTAGCTTAAAATACTAGTTAGTCTACACAGTGTTTCGATATTATATAAAGAGAGAGAGAGTGTGGGTGTGTGTTAGTACCAGGTTTTCTTTCTTTGAAAACCAAGGGAGAAGAATCTCTGACAGAGGTTGAGAAGCCCATCAGAGTCCCAAAACAAAATCATGAAGAAAGGAAGCTTGGGGTCCAGTCTGAAACTCTCAGTTCCTGCATCTGATCAGGCTACTTTTGCAAAGTTCCTGTGAGTCTCTGTTTGTGTGTGAATTTGATTGTTTATTTTTGGGATTTGACAAATTGGAATTGTTGGTATGTGGGTGTGTTGTAGGACTGAAAGTGGCACTTTTAAGGATGGGGATCTGCTTGTCAACAGGGATGGAGTTCGAATTGTTTCTGAGAATGAAGTCGAAGCTGTAATCTCTCTCTCTCTCTCTTCAATTTCAATATTGATCCAATCGGATTGCTCAATTGTTTCATTTGTTGCATTTGATCTTTTGGATCTGATGAAATGGCCTCTTTGATAAGAAGGGATTCCGGATTTTTATTTATTTTCCTTATTTTGAGGTTTCCAAACCCTAATGGAGCATTCATTGTTTTATAATGGATTTTTTTTTATCAGATGGATTATTTGCTCTTTCCCCATTTTTGTTTGGTAAAATAAAGAGGAATTTTTTATTTTTTATTTTTGGATTTTGTGGGTTGGGGGATTGAGCCTACTTTTCTTAGCCTTTACTACTGTTTTGAATTGAACCAGATATTATTAACGAATTTAGTGTCTCGTAGAATTTTTCGTCTTATTTGTGTTGTGTCTTTAAACAAATGGAGAACAAGTTGCAAGTTTATGAAGTGAAATTGTGCTCAGCATAAGTTATCCACTAAATGAGCCACTAAACAAATTGAGTCTTTAAATTCATTTCAATTCTATCCATGAAATAAGAAGTGTTTTAAACAAAGTTTGTTTCATAAAATTGTTTGCATTCTGAGTTAATGTAAGATCCTCTTCTTCCTCCACCCAGCATTTGTTTTTCTTAGACGGGTACTCACAGTCGCTGCCTCTGTGACTCACAGAGGCAGCTGCTAAGGATAGCTGAGTCCAAGTAATGAACCACTTGTTTCTGCCAGAATCATTTGAAAATACCTCGTTGTTTCAACACCGTTATCAATTTCTGTTTTATTAAACCATCAATCATGGAAAAAAGAAAAAGAAAAAAGGATCAATCTGATTAATTATATTGGAAAAATTCCTAAGCATACTTTTTAATGGTCAATACATTCTAGGAAATAGAAAAGTTGATAGTAAATACATGGCCGTGTTAAGTGAGGGCCCGGAACTAATTCCTTTGCACACTTTTATAAGTGACTCAATTTAAATTTTTTCATGTTAAGCTCCACACATCTATAGTTATAATCAGCTGCAAATCCCAACCATTGTTGTTTTGGTATAATAAGGCATGGAGGTTTGAATGTGGACTTCCTGCATTTTTTTTATTTGGCCACAATACACATGCTGACTGAATTCTGACAATATGTTTTATATGGGTTTAACCTCTTTTATGTTTCCAGCCACCCCCAATCAAGCCAACAGACAACCAGTTAAGTTTGGCGGACATTGACATAATCAAAGTTGTTGGAAAGGGAAATGGAGGGTTAGTGCAATTGGTGCAACACAAATGGACTAATCAGTTTTTTGCACTGAAGGTATACTTGCTGCATATTGCATGCCTTGCTTTGAATTTGTATCTTCTCTTGTCCCATTCTAGTTATTTATCCTTTCGTATTTGTGTTGTCTACCCTAGAAAGAGATTTTTGAGAAAACTATACCCAATGTGGGTTCAGGTCTCTGTATTTGTATTCCTCCAACTCCAATAACCTAGTTGTAAAATATAGTACAAAGGACTTAAATACCCTCTGCACACTAATCATGTGCATCATACACTTAATTCTCAACCCTCCTCCTCAAGTTGGATCATTAATGTTAATCATGCCCAACTTGTTACAGAGGTACTTAATCCTACTCCCATTAAGTGCCGTTGTGAAGATGTGAGCTATTTGCTCTTCAGTTCTAACATGTCAAATAGATGCAATACCTTGCTAAATCTCACCTGTTTCATTCTTTTATGAAACACTGGGTTCGAGGCAATTTGAATCACAACTTGATTATCATACCAAAGTTTCATAGGTAGGGGATCCTTGAACTCAATCTCATCAAGTAGATGGTGCACCCATATTAACTCATAAGAAGTTTGGGCCATTGCCTGATATTCAGATTTTGTGCTTGTCCTTGCTACTACATTTTACTTCTTGCTTTTCCAAGAGATCAAATTTCCTCTAAAGAACACAATAATTGGTGGTTGGTTTTTGATCGATTGGTCATCTAGCCCAGTCTGCATCAGAATAACATTCTACTTTGTTGTACCCATTATCTTTATAAAGAATGCCATGACCGGGAGCATGTCCCAATGAGAACTTCAAGGAGATGACATGAACTGATTGATGACACTTACCCAGAAAGAAATATCTGGATGTATCACAATGAGATAGTTAAGTTTACCAACCAAATTCCTTACCTTTTTTGATCTTATAGTAACTTTAGAATCATTGGAGTATCACAAGGTCTAGATTCCGACATGCTAACGTCGGAGAGGAGATCAAGAACATATTTCTGTTTGAGAGAGAAAAATTCCCATTTTAATTCTGCTTACTTTAATTCCCAGGAAATACTTCAAAAGACTTAGATCCTTTGTTTTGGAATTTGATTTAGAGGAAGCTCTAGAGTTTTGCAATGCAAAAATGTCATTCTTAAGTATTACTATGTCATCAACATAGACCACCATGAGAATACAACCACCCTCAGATTGTTGTTAAAAGACAGATTCTTGCTGTCTTATGCAAGGTGTTAGAGGGGTGAGAATCGCTGGCAGCTTGGGCAAACTGCTGTAACGTGTTGCATATTCCTTTGCTGAAGTTTCCATCACTATTATTTGATATGACCTGGCTCCTTTCAATAGCCACAAATGATGGAATGATCATCTACGTCTCTTCTTCCAGCGGAATTTATCCATCATCACGTTTGCCACCCCCATAAGTACTATAGTCCACCAAAGCAGATATCTTGCCTGGGACCAAAGGGTGTTTTTTAGAGAGTTTTTGGGGAAGCTGAAGAAGAAAAGTGTACACATCCTTTAATGTCAACTGTTCGTATCCTGCCAGGAGTTGAGAGCGGATAGTGCCAAATTCTGGCCTCAAACCAGATAGGAAGCGCATGACAGGAACTTACTCCCTTTGTGTCTGCATTGCCTTGTCATCAGAAGCGATTGGCAGCTGGGTATTCAGCTCTTCAAAGAGGCATTTGACAACAGTGATTCTTCCTTTTGGTTGGCATGATAAAGTTCTTACGTCTTAGTATAGAGAAGCGATAAATCATCAGACCTAGAGCATATTGCCATAACTCCTTGACATTGTTGCAGGTCTGTCAAATTTATGTGTGCAGCCGCATATCCTTCTGGATCCATACACCTTTTGTTGGAAATATTCAAGTGTGAGTGGTGTGAAGTCCCACATTGGTTAGACATAGACCAAGTGAGGACCATATAAGTGCCAAAGACCCATAGATGTAAGCCTTAAGGTTTCAGGTTGAGATGTGGTGTTAGTAGTAGCCAAATATGAGTGTTCATATTGGAGACCTTGGCGAAGAAGGAAAAAACAAAAGGGGGGGGGGGGGGAGTGGATTTAGAAGACTGGCAATACCATGTGAAGTAGAGATTTGGGAAATCTGTAGCTATTGTGGGTGTGGTCTTTATATTTATATTTAGTGAATTGAGCTAGTAATACAAAGAAGTACAAGGACAAAAACACCCTTCGCGCACTAATCACATGCAAAATACACCTAGTTTAACAATCTAGTTTATTAGCTTGAAAGGCTGTTGCTTCTATATCATGATTTTTCTGACATAGGTACTTGAACTTATGAACTAATTACTTTCTTTTTATTTGATATATTCACAACCTTAATGCTATCATACACATCCATTCCACATTGTTCTTTTGTCGCTTATGTATGCATTCTTCACAATTCAGGTAATTCAAATGAATATTGAGGAGTCTATGCGCAGGCAGATAGCCCAAGAGCTGAAAATTAATCAATCAGCACAATGTCCTTATGTTGTTGTCTGCTACCAATCATTCTATGATAATGGTGTAATATCAATCATCTTAGAGTACATGGATGGAGGCTCTTTAGCTGATCTTCTGAAGAAAGTTAAAACAATTCCGGAGCCATATCTTGCCGCCATCTGTAAGCAGGTAAGGAGTAAGACATTGCACTTCAATCTTACACCTATATAATTGTTTTCACTGAATCCAAAACAAGGTCTGATCCCTTTCTCTCCCTCTCTCTCTCTCTCTCTCTCTTTTAATGATGTAGGTGTTGAAGGGTTTAATGTATCTTCACCATGAAAGACATATTATCCACAGAGACTTAAAACCTTCTAATTTGTTAATAAATCATATAGGCGAAGTAAAGATTACTGACTTTGGTGTCAGTGCTATTATGGAAAGTACATCTGGTCAAGCAAATACTTTCATTGGCACATACAACTATATGTCTGTGAGTAATATATGCAAACATTTTTATCATTTTACCACCAAAATGTATCACTGTTGCCTGGAATATAACATCCACTCTGCTAATTTTACAGCCAGAGAGAATCGATGGGAGCCAGCATGGCTACAATTACAAAAGTGATATATGGAGTTTGGGACTAATATTGCTCGAGTGTGCTATGGGACGGTTTCCATATACACCACCAGATCAAAGTGAAACTTGGGAAAGCATTTTTGATCTTATTGAAACCATTGTTGATGGACCACCTCCTAGTGCTCCATCTGAACAATTTTCTAAAGAATTTTGCACATTTATCTCAGCATGGTAATTGTTAAGTGTGCTACCTAGTTGTGTACAGTCAATAATCTTAACCCACTGAAAGAAAATGAATGCATGTGCACACGCACAAAGGTCATCCTGAAATTAGTTGGTATGCTTGAGGAGCCTTAATTTTGTAGTTTCTTTGTAGACAAAACAACAGTAAAAATGTAAATCACTTGCCATACCTACCTGTATGAACCCTTATTTTCATATATTATTTTAGGACATTTTTCATAACTTCGTGGGACAAGCCTCCATCTGTGTTTAAACAAATATAAGAATTTGGTAGCTTCCATCACTATTCAGTCGGCTATTTTGCCATGAATTCTATGTCAATGTGCTTTTTTTGAGTCTTCTGATACTCCTTTTTCAATCTTCTCTTTGTTTAGTCTACAGAAAGACCCAAGGGATAGACTGTCGGCTCAGGGACTAGTGGTATGTGTAAATCTTATCTTTAGACATATACCATGCACAATAGTCTTTCTAATGATATATATATGATTGAAACTCCAGAGACATCCTTTTATCAGCATGTATGAGGACTTGGATGTGGATCTTGCTGCTTACTTCTCCAACGCGGGATCTCCACTGGCAACCTTATAAAACTTGGTATGTTCCAATCTTGGACTTTATTTTAAATTTAAGTAAATGATTATTCTTTTGTTCTTTATTTACCAATTTATTCGGTGATCTTGAATGTAGATCATTATATGAATAAAATGAGTTTATCTGTCATAAGCGGAAGCATTTTTTCTTCTATATTGAGGAAGTTGTTTTTCTGTTCTGTAAACGATACTGATGGTAATGTTTTGGAGCTCATATTTTTCAATTAAAATGATCCCTTTGTGATGAAAGCTTGTCCTGGGATGCTTAGGAGACTTTAAAGGCAATATCATGCTTTTACTGATATGGTTACTTGAATTACAAATGATAGGATGTACTCTCTTGCAACTTTCCGGTTTCAGATACTAATATATCTGGTTAATCTGAGTACATTTTTTTTTATTTAACAGTTGGAGTTATAGTACTCGATGGCAACTTGGCAAGTACAAATTCCATCGGATGTAACTGTAGTTTTGATTCCTTTTTTATTGTAGAGCACAGCTTGCATATGAGCAGCGTCTGCAGATGAGTCGAAGAAACCAGCTCCTCTAGTTATGTCAAAAGATTCTGTGTTTTGTTATTGAGTGATTGAGTTCAAGAATTTGTTGGGAAACTCATAGATGTAAGGGCCTATAAATTGCAATGATTGGCACTTCATGAAGAATTTTAATGCTGAAGATTGAGTATCATGGGCCACTTGCATCAATATGTTTGAATTTTATTATTGCAACAAAACGTAATGACTAGGATTCGCCCAAGATGCAGATAATATGATCTGATGTACAAATTTATAAAAGTTTGGTCAAACGTAAAAAATTATGCCTGTGGTCACTGGCTTAACGGTCCCTCAAAGATATATCTCTGACTTTTTGTTTAAAACTCGTCAAATTATCTAATTACTTTTGGGGTTTTTATTGTTTGGAAATAACTAATAATCAAATTTAAGTGTAGCTCCTAGGTGTACTAGTAAGACTATGTTTTGGAAATCTATATCACAGTAATAACTCATCCAAGCTTTAGTTATCTTTGAACACAGCGAATTTTAGCTCACATTACTTGGCACTGGTTAAAAACTGACAGGTTAAAGTCTATAGCATACATAAAGATATTCCAGATATAAAACAAGTTATTTTATGTCTTTTTCTTAAATTTTCTTTGAGCCTTCAAGTCTATCACAATTACAGAGATGTTATCTTGACTTCCCCTTTGGAGGGCTAGTCTAGATAGATACTCTGCAGCAGACTGAGCTGCAGGATCAGCTCCTTCACCTTGTCCTGTTGACCCGTTGTTGCCATACTTTTTGTGCCAAATAAGGATTCGCTTCCGTGCAACATCGCAGGCTTCTTCATTTGTCATTACATCCCATAAACCATCACTTGCTAGAATAAGGCACTCATCGTTTTTCTCTCTTTGCACAATATTGACTTCTGGTTCTGGAATTATCCATGGTTTCAAGTATCTATCACCTGTTGGACAAGAAGAAAAATTAGACAATAACAAAGATTATTTGAATAAGAAAGTAAGGAAAATTAATCTCAATTACTAATACAAAAAAATCTTAAAACAATTTATTATTTCAGATTTTGGAGCAAAAGTTTTATAATAGTATCACATTCACCTAAAAATTATAAAACTAAATAAATAAATAAAATCCTTAACTCCTCAAATGCTATATTTATCTAGCAAAATATATGTACTTTCATAATATCCTATCCAACGGTTGAAATCACATTGAAGGAAGTGTATTAAAGTAATTTTCTGCTCCAAAACCTTGGGTCATTGGGACACTAATGTACCAATGAAAGAACACTTGCTGGAAAAAGAAGTTATATTTCTTTCTTTCCCAAAACAAAAATGCATTAACGACAAGAAAAAACTAATATAGCAGTAGAAATGTAAAATCAAAAAAATTACAGTCAAATTAAACCATTTGATTCATATTATGAAAAACTTTAACCCCTTAATAAACATCAAACTGTTTACAGAAGTAACATGCCACAGCGTAATATCAAATTACAAGAAAACCAATCATGTTGTGGAGAAGCCAAAGGGAATTTCATGCTTGATACTTAATTCTCAAAAACAATGCGACAGACACATAAATACCTATGGACCTTGACATTGCCAAGACACCAAGAACTCTGTATCCTTTCCAATGTATGACTCTTCCTCCTGCAGCCTCTATCCTTTCCCGTTCATCCTCTCGATTTGGCTGCAAACGGGAAGTAATGTTTTCTCCATCAGACAACTTCAGATTCTAACAAAAATTCACCAAAAAAATTATAGTGAAACTAGAATGAAACGCCTTACTTTGTGGTCAGCAGATAATGGCAGTGCTTCTTTGCCACGATACAAGACAGCTCTTGAATCCCCACAATTTGCAACTATTATGTGGGTTTGACTTAAAATGACAACCACTGCAGTGGAGCCAGCAGTCTCAGGAGCAAGAGGTTCACTATGAGAATCAGATCCCCCACTGTTGTTTCCACTATTAGCTGCACCAATTCCTCCAACCTCATCATCTACTTTCTGAAAACAATTGGAGAATGCTTTCTTCCAATGGTCCTGCCAATTGTCTCTCCCATTTGACTCAGCCAAACTTGATTGTGCAGCTTCTATCTCCTCAATCAACACTGAATGAAGACGTTCCCGGCAGCAATTAGCAACCTATGAAAACAACACCCTCTTAGTGAAATAAAACCAACTTCAACAATACATACAACTTGTGTAATTTGATAAACTATTTTTAAGGCATACCTGAAAGCCCCCATGTCCATCATAGACACCAAAAAAGTGGGCTGGTGAGTATTTTGTGTTTTCATTCACATGGCCATCCATTAGCATCTGTGAAGGGACTTGAAAAAGTTGAGGCTTAACAGAAATTGCATCTTCCATCTCCTGTCTCATTCCACAAATTGATGAAAAACCCCATAGAGGGCCACTACTCGATTCCAAAGCATTCTGGTAGCTTGTTCTCCACGTGTTATTCTCCTTTAGCAACTGATCAAGAAGCACAGAAGATGATAGTGTTGGATCCGATCCACTTCGGTCCTCACTCTCAATATCCATTGCAACAGAAACTGTGTTCTGCACTGGCTTTAGATCTGGATGCGGCTCGTTTAAACCGGACTTTCCATGGATATTATCATCAATCTTGATGATAATTGGTGAATCTATTTCAGAATAACTAGTCTCCAAAGATGCTGCTTCCTCCCCACAAGGACCACTTTTGTCATTAGTATCAGATTGAGAGCTTGAATTATGCAGACGCTGAAAATCCACAGCTAACATGAATTCATCATCCTTTCTAGCCTTGTTATGGCTCTCAGTCAAGACCCAATTACTCTCATATTCAATAACCATTTCAGAGAGAAGAGCAGCTCCAACTTGATTCTCTTTTACCTCTGCAGATACTGTAATTTGGTGTTGTAGACTAACATCTGCATGGTTTTCACTTCCAACAGAATATGATTGACAATCCTCCACTGCAGGATTCAATATTAAAGCTGCTGCTGTATTTGCCATAAGCTTTAGCCCAGTTATCTCCATGTGGGTAGCCACTGCAGACTCCTTTTGAATCAGATTTCCAAGTGCAAATGGTACTGCAACACTCGAAGATATTTCCTCCATTGGTTTACTTACTTTGCCTTATAGCAATAGCCTTATACACCAGTATCCTATAAGCTGCTAGCCCCTAACTACTTTTTCCTTAGGCCTCCTTCCTATGATTGGGCTCAATCGGCATCAAAACACAAAGAAGTTTCCTACGGCAAGAAATTTAAGGAGTTTAGAATCAAACTCCTAAGAAGCAGTCAAATACAGTTGGAAAAATAAAATAAAAATAAAAATAAAATCATTTTCAAGGTTATTTACTTTGGGCATCAAAATCCAATGGCTATATTGAAGCAGTAAAGCTAGATAGTAGAACAGCCCACAAGATCCATTCCAAAATCAACTGTTTTTGGACTTATATTTTTAATCCTATTTGACAACAAGGCACAAGTGATGTCCCAAAACCTTCTATTTCTACCTCCTTTTGATCCCTGGAAAAAACAGGCAATAGATTATTCAAGAAACCAATATCAAATATTTGACAAAGTCTGTGCTTTGTCTCTCTCTAGCAAACATGGACAAGGAAAATGGGGTCATTGAAAATGAAAACATAGCAAGGAAATAGTACCCAAATGAGAAGATTGGTTCCCTAGATCTAAGGCAAGTTACACCGGCCACTGAAATTTCCTTCCCCTAGTTTTTTTTACCTCTTGTGTTCCTTTCATGTGTCAAACAACAACAAGGCCATCCACCCTCAAAATGATATCGAAACAAAGCCAAATAATATTGGTCATTTCAAAAAATCCTAAGGTGAACCATGCTTAGATTTCTTCTCTATGTGCACTAAGAGTCTGAGATTCATCTCAGGAAACAGTGAAAGCACAGAACATTTATGCTTAGCATAATCTGAGTTGCTTACCTTCGCAAAATGAAAATACTGCATCTAAAGCGAGGGAAGGGAATGAAGGAGGAACAGAAACTCTCAACAAAAGTATATGCAGTTATTAATATTTTATCTTAGGCAATGAACCACAAGTATTTCCTTCAGGAATTATAAATTAATTAAAATACGCAATAGATTTAATTTATAATTTTCTTTACAAACAAAATAGGAAAGGCAAAAGTAAATGTGTTGTGTATTAGTCTATAGAATGATGCAAGAATTTGACACATAACCCTTTCTTTTTTTCAAAAATAAAAATATATATATGTATTTAATCTTTCTGTTGAGTTTGGTTACATCGTTTTCTATAGAATAATCTTTCTTTATACTACCAATACAAGATTAAGACGTGGAAGTCATTCTAACCTCAATCTCTCTCATCCATTATGGACCTTAGTATCTTTTTTCTAAATGAATGTGTTGATATTTTAGTATGTTATTGTTTTTAATGTTGAGCAATCAACATCTTTTATTTTCCATTCTTTAATAAGAAAAACAAGACACGGAAATGCAGAAAGCCAGTACGAGGAAGCCACGTGGGCGTGAGAATCGAGACACCTAAGCTTGAAAGGGGAGATGTATCATGTATCATATCTCGTGTATGAAAAGTAAAGTAAATGAATGACAAATGGGAAAAATGGAACAGAACAGAACAGAACAGAACACACTTGGTAAGGTAAGGTAAGGTATTGTATTGCTGTATTTAGAAAAAGGGGAATACGAAGATGCATGAACTGAAGTGACAGAGACAACAAATATATAATTAATGAATAATAATAACCGTGACAGTTGACGCGTACAACATGAGCATGCTCCAAAAAAAGATATCTTAGAGATTCTGTTTCAATTGCATATAGTTTTGTGCCGAAAGCCATCCATGACACACAGACACATAACATAACACCTTCAACTTCAAACCCTTTCCCTTTGTCTCCACGTGTTCTCCATCTTGCGTGCTGACCAACCGACCATATCATATTTTATTTTCATTTCCATCTCTCTCTCTCTCTCTCATCACGTATTTTAAGGCAAAAAATAAAGAATTATAAAATTATTACTTATTGTTATTGGTATCATTCCAGTATATATCGTATTTTTTGAAAACTCTTAACTTCCCATCGTATAATAGGTAGGATAAGTGTATTCTAAGCGTGTATATAAATATTTATTTAAACTTGATTGACTTTTAAGTATTTAAGTATTAAAATAAAAGAAGTATCATTCATTTTTAAGTGTTTTAAATATTATCAATTTACAAACCAATTTAAATCTTATTTCTTTAACGACTTTTAAATATGAAAGTTGATGGCAATAGTACTATTCTGCCGTGGGCAGAGGTGCCGACCGTAAGTCGGTTGTTTGATGTTGTATCTATAGCTTTCTCTCTAGATACCTATGGATTAGGTATCTTGGGGACAGCAAATCACTACACATAGTACGATGGCCTTAGCCTGAAGGGGTGTGTGTGCGCGCTGTCGTGTTTGAAAGAAATAGGGTTAGAGAGATCAGTCATACCTGTGGTCTTTAGCCTCTATTTATAGAGCTTACCTTTGGGCTTGTGTATGTTGGGCTTCTTGCTGTCGTGGGCCTTTCCCTGGTCCATAACAGTTGCCCCTCAGCCCGGTAGACTGAGTCTTCAGGTTGCCGGGATGTCCAAGTCAAGCCGACTGTTGTGCTTTTAGCTCGGATATTGGTCACCTGACTGGTTTGTTATTTCGGCTTCCCCACTTGGCTTCGAGAGGGAAAGCTTTCCCTGGTTTTTACAAGCATATTTGCATCCGGGATGTTCTACGGAAGTTTTCATCCGGGTTACGTTGCCGAGTTTTTGGGCATGCGACCCTCTTAGACTAGAAACTCAGTCACTCATTTCGGCAGCGTAGAGAATGGTTGTATTTAACTGCTACCTGATGATTGCTTTGAAGTGAGAAACGATCTCCCTTCTCTCTAATGATTACTTTTCCACGTACTCCCTTCCAATAGGCTCAAAGTGTGGCTTCGTGCGTTTCTTGTCTCCTTAGCATTTAATGCTTCTGCAAAAACGTCTCTCAACTGTCTTGTCCATCCTGCAAGCCCTTTGGCTTTCGCGGGTTTAACCTTTCGATTTCAGCCCCCATATTATCACCCTCAGTTTTCATTTCAGACCATTTGTCTCACAAATTGTCTGTTTGCCTTTGTTACTATCTCGAATCGCTTGGCAGTACCCAGAACATTTTCCTTCAACGTTCACCATCTCCTGCGTTCACCATCTCCTGCGTTCGTCAATCTCCAGCTTCTTCAACGCCTTTCTCCACAGGTATTTTCCTTCAGCATGCCTTTCCTTTCTGACGTATTTTCCATTAATTTTTCAATATGACCATGGCTTTTGGTTTTGCAATGCTTTTCTTTATTCCAGACCTACTTACTTGCTTGTTCCTTTGCGTGTGTCAATCTGTGTGTGTGACGCATCGTACTGTTCTTGCCTGATTAAACCTTCTGTACTAGTCTCGCATTGTCTACATAAGCTTATCTGATGTTTGTTCACTTACTGCACACCCTGCTTTGAATAGTTTCTGATATGGGTGAGAGAAATTATGCCATTCGAGGAAGACCCTCTTGCCCCCGCATCTTCGGTCGTGGTGATGAAATTGATGCCGAAGAGGAAGAATGATTTGCGGAAGAAGAGGAAAGGTTCATTCAGAGCCTACCTCCTGCTTCGAGGTACTGGTTGTATGGCAGGCCTCGAACCGAGGAAGAAACACAGACTGCTTTGCTAGGCGGCTATCGAGGTGGTGGCCATAGGAGAGCCTCTTCATCTCGTTCTTCGGTCCGTGGTCGTAGGGGGTCTTCGAGGTAGAAAGGCTTCCTCTGGTCCTTCAGCCCGGGGTCGAAGCGCTGGTCCCGGTAGCCTAGGCAACCCGTCCAGGGCAACTTCCCCTATTTCCTTAGGTTCTACCCCGGTTCACGCTATTACCCCTGTTCCCTTTCCGAATCAGAGTGTGAGAGTCCCTTCTCGCCCCAATATTACCAACCATGAGCCTTGCTTCAACTGCGTATACCTTAGTGCTCAATTTGTGGAGAGGGGGAATGACTTCATGGCCAACCTAGTTTTGGGTAGCTGCTCACACACCCCGGGTTCTCCGACCCCTACTCCTGTTTTTGCATCTGAAGATTCTAGTTCCTCTGACAATAGTTTGTTTAATTCAGGTACGTATCCTCATTGCTACGTGCTATTCTTGCCTTTTAATCCTCCATTTTATTGTTCTAGGTATTTATGGAGTCCCATTCTACAGAATCGAATGCGAATATTGCTTCCTCTAGCCAAGGTCCAAAGGCCGGGGTGAGTACAGCCGAGAAGGGTTCTGCTCCAGTAACCGATAATCTTCGTACCCAATATCCATAAGTTACGGAAGAGGTGCTAAGCTTTGCCTCCGAGATTTCAACCGAAGAAGTGTTCGGGCTTCCCATTGGCAACCCGTTTGATTTCGACACGTTCGTTCCTGCCGATGATGAACCTGTTTGCTCAGGCCGGAACCTTGAGGAGACACATTCTTTTTTCTTCTACCGAGATCTGGTGACGAAGATTGGGATTCGGTTTCCCTTTTCCCCATTCAAGATACAGCTCCTAAACCATCTGCTACTCGCACCCACCCAGATTCATCCCAATGGCTGGGCTTATGTTGTTGCTTTTGAACAGCTCTGCGACTCGTTGTCCCTTCCGTGTACTGTTCCCCTATTTTTGCATTTTTTTACTATTTATACTTCACGTACCGGCTCAGAAACTCCTGAACTTAAGGGGTGGAGCAGCATTCGAGGCCGAGTTAGCAAACCCTCGCGAAAGCTGTTTTCTGTGTACATTGATTCCTTTAAAGGCTTCAAAGCCCACTTTTTTAAAATGGTGGCCGAGGTGGGAAAGAGGCCATGGTTCATTGGTGATGATGGGGAACCGAAGTTTCCCCTGTACTGGACTCAGGATCATCACCAGCGCAGGCCAGCCGACTTCAAGCTGAGATTGTTACAAGAGGATAAAGCTAATTCCAAGACCTTGCTGGCCCATGTAGGTTCCAAGGGCCATCTGAGCGCAGCTTCTCTAGTAGCCAGATCTCATTCCACCCCAGAGCCCACCAGTATGCTTTGTGCTATTTAAATCCTTGCTACTTGTGTTATTTTCATGTTACTGTTATAACTTGTTTTTGTTTGCAGATTTCGACATGAATTTTGACGAAGAAGATGAAGGGCCAGGTCCGGAATATATTTTATCGATAACAGGGCAAACTTCTGCTCCGCCTGCACCCCCGGCTAAGAGGCCAAGGACAGTCAGCCCGGTTGCGGCCGCTTCCACCTTGGCTTTGAATTCTGGGGTCTCTATCCTGGATCTTACCGATGACGGTGAGAATACGGAGGCTGATGGAATTCCAGACCCTCCGGTCTCGGCTAGTGGAGGCGGAACGCATGCCGCCATTACTCTTCCTCGGGGCACCCCTGCTCCCGCCGCTCTCCCAGCCAGACTGAGGAGGGGATCGTTGTGGGACTCAGGGGTAACAGCTGAGTTACGGGGTGCGGTGCGTCCTCCTCCCGCATTCTCCGGTTCTGGGATCATTTCAAGAGCCGAGATGGAAGAGCTCCAGAAGGCCGAGTTGTACACCTTCAAGACTGCTTCCATGGTGAAACCATAATCCTTGCTGCTGGAGAAACATTCCGAGACTATTGCCGAGTTAGACGAGCTCCATCTGAGGTATAGTAAAGCTGTTCTTGTCAATGAAGAACTAACAAACAATTCTGCTGAATTAAAGGCCTATTTGGAGACCTCCCAGTCAGACCTGAAGTCTATTGCTGACGTTTGACGGTGTGACCCCTGGTAAGGATAATATCGTGAAGCAATTCAAAGACCAATATGATGCGCTGGCGGAGAGGGGTGTAAAGGTTTCCGATCTGACTGCGGAGATTAATAAGCTGAAGTCGGACCTTCAAAACTT